CCCCAAAACCCCAAAACCCCAAAACCCCAAAACCCCATCATTCATGAATTTAGGTTATATTGAGTTAAAAAGATAATATGAACAATTATTATAGCATAAGATTTTATCCACTTGAATACCTAGCAATTTTACTCATAATTCATTCTCTCTTGGACTTTGGACCAATGTGAACAGCTTTAGTCAATGATCTAAATATCAAACTATATATGAAAGCTACTCCCCATTGGATTAAAAAGTCATGATAAAAGATATAGCTCATCATTCTGTGATTGTGATGGTGCTCAAACCACCAGTCATACCATATTTTATATAATCCCCATAACATGAGTCCATCATATAGATAAGTTATGAGTCTAAATAGCCATGCATTTCTTAGGATTTTAGTCGTATCCTTAAACATACATATAGTCAAACCATAAATTGCAACTAAGATTTATGGAAGTAGCGAAAAAATCAGATACATTGTGTATCTTTCAAGTTTTTATTAAGGATAATAGGGATCGTCTTTTAATTGAGAAACTACCTAGAAGTTATAGACGAGATGATATCCTTCAACTGCTATGTAGGCCATAGTCAATAAACCAAGAATAGATTTAGAACCTGCAATATCAAATTTCACTGAACCGCTTTCAGCTTTGTGAGACATTTCTAAATTAAATTATTTAATTAAGATAGAGATAATATTTTTATTGAAGTATTATTAGTAAAGTAATTAAAGCTATCACTAAGCTTTTCTACGGTCTTCTCCTTTAGAGCCTCCCTCTTTAGTGTGAGGTCCTTGACCACCTCCAGCGTTTTTAGGTTTGTATCTGGGTTGCTGTCCTTGATTTTATTAATTTTGTGCGTTAGGATTTTGTTGCTACTATTAACCGTAATCTCTTCTTTCTCCTCTATTTTGATCTCTTGGTTTATTCTGACCCTGATTCCAGTTTCCTTAAGCAGCTGGTTTTTGATCAGGGAAGAATTACTCATAGTCCATTTTAACATCTTCTGGAAGGTTTAAAGTTCTGATGAGATCTTGCTTTATCTAGTCGACAATCTGTTAATCTCTTGAGTTCTTGTTCCAGATAGCAATTGTATCTCCACTTGGCTTGATAACGATAACTATTCCATGAATCTCGTTTTCACATTCAAATTGCTCTCCTATCATTGCAAGAGTTAAGTCTTCCCACAATTTATTAGAGTAGCCCTTATTAACTCTGATTACCCATCTGCCTCCATTTTTGTTAGCTTCGTCTTCCCACATTGGCTTGACTTCATCAACGAACTGAAATTAATGAAAAATTTAATATCATTACTAGATGAACAGTGGTTCCATTTGGTAGCTAACTAGGTCTTTTAAGGAACTGGTAAATCTACCAAAAATCCTCAGCCTATTTCAAAAATTATAAATAAAATGCTTAATACCGTCTTAAATTTTGCAATAGGTTTGATTTGACTTTCGAATTCATTGGCTGATAAATGATGATCTCTGTTTTGTTATTGCTTTTGGAAAATCCAATAAGTATACAAATATTCAAGTTCAGTAGTTGTCAACAAATCATCAGCAGCAGCCCCAATAACACTGCTACTAATAGTGTTTATTTTAGTAGTGGCACTTGACTCAGTGCTAGATGAGAAGATTATTGCTGGATCATGCATTGCTAGATCTTATGAAGAGTTTACTACTCCAGTAGAGTTTGTGCTACCTTAACCTTTTTACTTTGGCATATATTTTTATTAGTTTTCTACAATCGAATTTGACATTTTATACAATTGCTTATTATTTTTACAATTAATTATTTTGAATTCCTCACTATTAGATTTTATTAGAACCAATGGGGTTTTGGGGTTTTGGGGTTTTGGGGTTTTATG